CAACTCCAACTAGAGATAAAAGATTTCTGAAAATAACTGAAACCCAACCAAAAGGGAGAAAAAAGCATGGGAGCAGATGTGTATGTGTCTGTGTGTGTGTGTGTGTGTGTGTGTATGTTTTAAAGTCATTCTGCTAGTTCAAAAATGTGTCTTAGTATCATAAGGTTATAATATTTAAATTATTGAGTAAAACTAGATGTCAAGGCCTGAAAAATTATTATTCTAGCTTTTCTTGATTCTGCTCCCCTGCCAAGTCTTTAGTATCTCTAACTCAACCAGCCAATATTTCTTTTTAAATTAGCTTAACCACATTTCCTTTTGTTTAGGTAAATTTTTACCAGTTGAGTGAGCTCTTCCTCCTTTTTACAATTCCTTTTTCAATGAATTAAAAACATCTTGGACTCAAATTACAAGTCTGAAAATATAGCTATCTATCATCTTTAAACACCTTGTTTCTTAACTGAAATGAAGAAAACTTCATCACTTTTAACACATTAAATTTTATTCTCCAGAGGAAGGTGAAAATACTTTAGGAACTATACCAAAAAAATACTATTATAAAATAAAATTTCATTCTCTCCTGTACATGTCTCAGTAAAGTTTTCTGCCTTAAGATGATCATTTTTCACAATCACAGGAAAGGCTTGTTATATAAAGGGCTGTCTTTAGATTACTCATTACATAAATCTTGTGTTCTATAGAACTAAATAAAAGGTTCTTTAAACAAAACATACAAAACTAATTTATTATACCAAATTCTTATTTCTAGACTTAATTTTGAAGGAGAGTTGCATGGTTTTTTTCCTTTATAATTCCATAGTTTCCATAAATGTGGAGAATACCTTTTCTTGAGTAGTAATTATTGCTATATCTCTATTTCCCCACAGAATGATGACAGATCTAATGTTCTGACAGTATCAAGTTCACCTACAACAGAAACAGGTAATAGACACAAAGTGCAATTAACCACATCAAGATTATAATTCTTTACCAGGATTTTCATGATAAAATAGTGGCTTCCTTTTCTGAGATGAGAAATTAGACACAAAATTGGGAACTTTCTACACATTTTCAATTTTTTACTTCAACTGGTTGTTCAACTACTCAGCCATTTGATATGAACAAATGAGCATGAGCTAGCAGTGCATAGGTTTGCAAGAGACTGGATTTCGATATATCAACATTCANCTACTAGACTGTTGAGCTTCATGGGCCCAGGAGTCTTCACTGTTGCATTTACCTATATATACTCAGTCCCTGTCACAGTTCCTGAGATATATTAGGTGCTCAATAAATATTTCCTAAATGAACATGTAAATGCTGTGCATATAATAATTGTTCATTGAATTGTTTCATGATGTAAAGGTCTGATGGTATAGCAGGGTAACTGTTGGATTTGATTTAAAGACTTTTAAATATAGAATTTGAAATAAGTATTAGTAATGTTTAATATCAGTTATACTTACATTCTCATAGGCTTCTGTGGCTTTCATCTATGTCCCACCTGCATCTATATCCTATCTATAAATACTAGCCTGTACCTAGGCTCATTTCACTTCCTCTTCCCTCCACTCCTTTTTTCCTTCTTCGCCAACATAGTGGCTTTTAGCCTTTTTATATTTGAGATTAACAGTAGTTCTAGTACATTTGATTGTAAGGAGGACCAGAAAATCTAAACAGGTGGAGCACACATATTGTATTACTGTTGTCACAGTCTTGTTCTTTGCTACATTTTCTTCACTTTTTTCTGCCTTAAGAAAAACTGTTGCAGTGTGTGTTACATGGGGGTGTTTTTTTGGGTGGGGAGGGGAGACATTGCTACCTATCAATTCTCATTAAAAATACAGTTGTTATTTATTTTATTGACCACTTTATCTTCTAAACACCCACATGTGTTCTTGTTTATCTATATCATAATTCAGGTATTTGTGATCCTAATTTAAATTTCTTAAAATTATTTAACTTATAAAGCCTTTGATATCATTAAGCCTTTGTCATTTTGTTGTTTTAATAAGTACAATTATCTAGCACCCTTTGTGGAAGTCCTGTCTTCTCTGATTTCTGGTCCCCACCAAATGAAAAAATTGTCATGTCCTGAGCAGCTTTTATCTCTAATCAGAAAATTCTGTACAGTAACTTCTAACACTATCTCTAATATAACTAACTAGTTGTATGTAGGTTTGTAAATGGATTTAAAGAAAAGGAAAATTCTACTTAACCTCTTATAGGTCATTTGGACTTTCACAGAGGCAGAAATGAAATGCTGGTTCATCCTTAAGATGTTACACAGAATCCTCAGGTCCTGTCTTTTCACATCAGAGCCATTAAATTGAATTATAATAAGTCTACTGGATTTATTGAAATTGGATTTATATTGAAAAATATTGTTCTTATTCATGTCGGTTCTTAGTTAAAATGAGCTCTTTGACTGGATTTTTTTTCCCCATCATAGGAACAACATCGGACTCAATAGTTTCAAGGCTATTTTACTAAACAAATTTTGATGTTCTGAGTTTTATTTCCAAATAGAATCGTTTTTAATAAATCATGCCTTTCATTTCTTGATTGATGTAGTATGAGGTATTGAAATATTAATAGTTTGAATTATTATAGGTAGAAAACTGTTTTTATAAATTACGGGGTTCCCCCCCCCAAGTATTCTCTTTTTACATTATCAATATTTTAGTAAACCATCTGAAAGTTTGTCAGTGACCTTTCCTTTTCTAATTTCACTGACCAGATCTGCCTGCCTGACATTTTGCTAACATAAATGCTGCTTTCTGTTTCTTCTCTTTCTCTTTTGAAATTTAGTCGCTGTTAGGGTTGAATCAAGTGGGCTGTGCTGCTACCCTGCCTCATTCTTCTGCCTTCATGCCTCTTAAGGTATCTCTTGTTGCTGTAATTCACCAGAAACTTCGGGGAGGGGGTGTATAGTGGAGGTCTTAAATTTTCCAATGGATTGGTCTAACAGCAGCAATCTGAAATCTAGGATCGCATGAAATATACCTAAGGTTATGAAACTATTTGAGTTTAACATTAATTTCACTTGAAATTTTTTTTAAGTTTTATCATGTCAGAAACAGTCATAAAGCCTGCATTAATTCTTTATATTCAGAATCTGATTGACATGTCATTCTAATTTTCTAATCAGTGGTTATTGTTTTGTTGTTATTATTTTACTTTGGCTAATATGTAATATCATATTCACTCTGTTGTAATGTACATGCAAAATTATTTGAATCCAAGTCCCCAAAACTGTTACTGCCCAAACCCTCTACTTGGGATCAGCAAGCTATTACCCCTAGGCTGCCTGTTTTGGTAAATAGTTTATTGGTACACAGCCACTCCCA